TACGCTGGTCAAATAGCTGAAGTGCCGTTTGGGATTGGCACTGGAAGCAAATTGAGCCAAGAATAACGCTGATAACTCGGCAAAGCTATTGATTGACCCGGGCGGTAGTGTCCCGAACCATTCCTGGGCAGGCCCCCTGAGCGTGCTGAAAAACAAACGGCAAATGGCGGCCTCGGGTGCTCCTAGCAGCATAAGTCCCCCTTGGTAACTCCTCAGATGTACGTGGGGATCTCCCACCCCATCGTAAATTTGGCCGGTCGGGGGCTTGGCACCCCCTTGGATATCCGCGTACATGAGCTCCCTAGTAAACGGGGAAGTAATTCCCAGCTGAACTGGCGCAGGTTGTACAGGTACCCTGTTCATCTGGTCCCGCATTTCATTCATTTGCCTCCTCATCTTGGCCATCTCTTCCTCCTGGGCCGTCAAAGGGGGCGGTGGTGGAACCCTCATATCCGTACAGTCCCGGTCCCAATGCCACTGAGGGGCCCTCGCATTTTCCCGCTCGGCATACTGGAAATGATGACCGACGGGAGTTAGTCCTCTAGCTTGCGACCCGACCGGGGTTCGGTCACTGGGACTGGGATGCGCTGCTGGTGGGGCGCTACGTCGGTTATCCCGATGGGTATGTGAGCGGGATGACGCTGTGGTCGTTTCCACGCGTGGAGTTTCTCCTGTAAAGCTGGAACCTCCTTCTTCTTCGTTCGCCATGTGCTGCATGAATTGGGCCATGTCACGCATGGCCTGGGGATTTCTCCTCAGAGATTCGGGAATCACAAAATCCCCATTAACACGAGGATATGATCCTAGACTGGATTGTCCCTGGGGGTTTTGACTCCCCGGGGTGTGACTCCTCCCGTGACGGCGTGAACCGTCGCTTGTATGATAGGAACTGATTCTGACCATTTTTAAAAAATAGAGGTTTTTTTGGATGATTAGAAAGTGGAACTTTTTGCAAGTCCCGTAGATCCGAAAGCCCAACACGAACTTTGGATATATCAGGAATGGCCCAGAATCAAAGCATAAAAGAAAATATAAGATCTGAACTAACTAAAACTCGAAAGCTCACTTGTATTAATTAACCAATCTGATTACAAGGGATTTCCCGATCGGTAAGTCGGAAACTATGCTTTAATACAAGAAATAAGAGCAAATGATGCTATTCTAGAGCTTGAGTATTGAAATGCTAACCCTTACAATGACTTGAAACCTTCTATTTATACTAATGGAGAGCATGGGCTGTCTCTTGCTGATTGGCCGTTGTTCCACCGACTTGATCATCCATGCTTCCACTTGCTGATGTCATAGTCTGGCATTAACTGCACCTGGCCACTTGTTGGTTGGCCGTTGCTCGAACGGGATGTTGGTCCGTACTGAAGATGCTGTCATATATAGTCCGAACCTCGTTCGGTATGTCTTCTTATTGGGCCAACCTTTATTTGGGCCGAACCCCGTTCGGTATGTCTCCTTACTGGATATTTTAATCATAGAGTGATGGGCCTGTTACTTGGGCCGGATATCTTGGGCCTTCCCGATCTGGGTATTGGGCCTCTAGGTCAATATCCCAACAGTATCTTACACGTAATAAAAATGAGTATAACTTTGACGTTATTGAGAATGTGATGTTATGCCACACAGACAACACAAAAAAAAAGCATTACACAACTTGTTATGATTATATAGACTTGCAAAAAGGCAAGAAAATTACCAACAAAACAATACAAAAAGCGAAGAAGATTACACCTTCACAAGCTAAGGTACATCACATTTTCAAGCAAAATTTCACATGAAAGTAAATCAGCTTTCACATTCTTAGGACCACCTGCACCAGCAGCACTACCAAGGTTGGCCAAACTCACCAAAGCTTTAAGTTACATTACCATTCTCCAGGTCCAGGAGGCTACCCTTAATATATGTGATTTTCCCTTCCATGATTTTAGTGGAGAATATTTTATTCTTTCCTTAACTAGTGTCTACATGGGAGAATGATGCCTTCACAGCACCTCAGAAACTCACAATGCTGGTTATCTTTAAATCCAAATCTCCAATTAAGAGTAGAGAGCACCAGAAGTTGCATTTTCTGAATAGTCTTTGCATCAAACATATCCTTAGAATCTATAAAAATGATTATATAATTATTTAAATTGGGAAACAAGAAAATCAGAATCTTGAACTAATTAACAAAAAAAGAGTGTAAAAGTTTTGGATTTAAACAAAAAAACATCATTGAGTCATTTCAACAAACATGTTATGAGCATAAATGTGAAATAGAAAAGGATGAACTAAAATTTCAATAACTAACACTACCTTTTCTTACAATAATACAAAGTACTCAACAATTAAGTGTTATACCATACATAATATACAAAAATCAGAAATTTTAAGTAAATAAAACCCTAAACTACAAGTAGAAAAATCGAAATAGATTACCACCTCAATATTAAGGGCTGGTATTGGATCTTCTTGTTGGAGCGGTGAATCGGTCGTCTCATCTTCACCGTCACATTGATTCTAGCTGCAACCACACCGTTGGCGTTGGCGTTGGTGAAACGGCCGAGCCTTTGTGCTGGCGCAAGAATAAAAAAAGAAGAACAATGAGAAGTTTGTCAGTCATGTTTGGAAATACTCTAAAGAATGTGGTTTGGATCTCCAAGATAACCATATGTTGGCACTATTATTAGAGTTTAGATTTTATTAATTAATTAAATATGTATTTGTTTTAATTAATATTATCATCTGATTTCTTCCTAATTGATGACAAATATGTGTTGTGGAAGTCGTTGAGATGTAATATCAAAATCATTTTCTTATTTGATTTAAGAAAAGAGAAAAGGAATGCTTTTGTCCAATTTTCAGCTAGGACAGACCGATTACATATTCACATCGTTTAGCTTGTGGTTAATTAGTAATCTTAACATATATTCAAATGCATATTTAGAAACATAAAATAGAGACCGACCAAAACTAAACTGACCAAAGTTAATTAAATCCTATGGAGTTTGAGTTTTTCTCAAGGTTGTAATAGACTAATAGGTTTTGAAAACCAGACAAAATTGCCCGAACGGCCCAAATCCAATCTCACCATATGCATTTTGATTTTTTGTTCAAGTCTTTAAGTTTCAAAAAGTGACCTACCTAAACTAATCAAATTAAACCTGAGAAATTGTAGCTGATTTAAGTTAATTAAGTTTGACATTTTAAAGCTCCAAGGACTGCTTCCCTGAGACACATTTCAACCTCATGCTTGAACCGTTAAACACATTAGAACAAAATTGAGCATATTCACTTGGACTTGAGCCAAGAATCAAACAGACCAACGCAAACTAACACTAAAATAAGGGTAAAAATAATGTAAACTTTTAAAATAGATCTGTTTTAGTTTTTTAATACTTTAGCAAAAAATAATTGTAAAATAGGGATGTTACATTTTTTGTATTTTTTAAAATAGGGGTAACTTGGTGCCACTCATATTGAACTGTATTATGATCACTTTTTAGCAGTACAGACTTTAATACGACAATATTAATGTCATAATTGGCCGTATTTTTCAAGTATGATCGAGAATAGTTACTCATGTTTAATGAATAAAAACATAGTACGTAGTACTCCTTTTTGGGTTTTAATATTGTTTTTACTACCATTTTGAACAACTTCTTATAGAAAAAATGATAAATTTATGAATAAAATAAATCTGGCGTCACTAGGTGCATAGAGAATGTGCTTGTAGCACATCTAGAGTTCGAAGATGGCATGAAGATGTTGGCGTAAAATGATTAAATAAAGTTTATTTACAAAAATGTGACTTAATTATTAAATGTTGTGAGTAGTGATGTAGTGAGTAGTGACTATGAGGCCGTTCGGTAACACTTGTTTTTGGCTTATCAGGCTTATCAGTCAACCTTTTTTTTTCAAACACACTATTTTTGTTTTCGCACGCTGAATTGTGTAATAATAAGAAAAAGTAAGGTTGAAGTTACTTTTCAGGCTGTATTGGTTGAGGTTACTGTAGATGACCATTTTAGCTACTTTACATATAATTTTTTCTTTATTTTATTAATTAATAAAATGTATTTTAAAAATAAATGTTTCTTAAATCAGCAGAATCAGCCAATGCAACCATTTCAGCCATAACTTCATAAATTTCAGCAGAATAAGCCACACGAGACGATTTTAGTGATATCAAACGGGCTCTATATATTGTACGTAGTAGTAACTTTAGATATAGTAAGGATGATTTTACTTGGACTGTAATTCGTCCCAGACCAGACCAGACCAGATTAGACCAGACCAGACCAGATCAGTTCAGACCAGACCAGACCAGTTTAGACCAGACCAAACCAGACCAGACTTGGATAGTTATAAAAATACAAAGAAACCAGACCAGACCACACCAGACCAATTCAGACCAGACCAGACCAGACCAGATCAGACCAGACCACCAAATTACGGTCTAAGTAAAAACATCCTAATTTATATTCAATTTTTATACCCAGTTCAAACCAGACCAGACCAATTCAGACAGACCAGACCAGATCAGACCAGACTTGGATAGTTATAAAAATACAAAGAAACCAGACCAGACCAGACTAGACCAGACAAGACCAGACCAGACCAAACCACACCAGCAAATTACCGTCCAAGTAAAAACATCTTTACATTTAACTAATTACCCACTACTTGGCGATTTGTAATTCCGGACTACGGAATACGGAGCACTCTTTAATTAATTACGGGGTACAAAATTGACAATAATCAGAATATATATTAGATTAATCCGAGAAGGAATTAAAATACTACTACGTCTATCTATTAATTAATAGATTATTATTCTAGAAGGATTATAAGGACGGTTACGTACGTGCACATACAAAGTCCCAATCCTACCCGGCCACAATCATTAACTCATTAATTAGGACTAGGATACTTGATTAATGAAATTAGCTAGTTTTCTCTCTATAAATATAACACGATGCTGTACGTCGCATGCATAATCGTATCTTCAGCTTAAGCACAACTGATATTATATATATATCCCAATCTTTCTTTAATTAGCCTTATCCATGGCTGTAAACATTTTCTTTTCTTCATCATTCTTTTTCGTTATATTTATCCTATTCATGACCAACGCGCTGTCTTTCCCGATTCCGGCGAATCATTATCATCAAATAAATTTACCGAACGGAATCGTTGGCCCAGAGAGTATTGCTTTTGATTGTACCGAAAAAGGACCGTACGTCGGTGTTTCCGATGGGAGAATCTTGAGATGGGAAGAATCTGCCGGAGACTGGGCTAAATTTGCAATCATGACACATAATAGGTACGCATATTCTAATATTTATTTATTTATTTATTTATTTATTTATGTTTCCAATCCATTGTACGATCGTATATATGGTTTGGGATTTTTTGTTTTCATTCTTACATTAAAATATGTGGTCGTAGTAATAATATTATTATTGAGAAAAGGCTACAAAGTCTATCTATAAGAAGTGTATTTCTATATATATAATTTGTAATTGAACAGTTTTTCAAGAATGATTTTAACTATTAAATACGGAGTAGTAAAATTAGGGGAAAGAACATAATTTGGATTGGTTAATAATATTCTAGCTCCGTATCTTCTTCAAAAACGTACATCAGCTTAGAAAATAATGACGATATATAATTTGGATTCGCTAATTTATATACATAAGCAATCGATTAATAGAGAGATATATAGAATCATTCGTCTTTCATATGTTTCTCTCTGAATTCTAATCTCTAGTTTGAACCGTTCTGATTACGTACATTATATGAACACAATCTTACCGTATGATGCATAATTATATTTACCTTGACGGTGTATTATATTTGTTATTAAAAGAATTTGTGTGCAATTTGGTTATTAGGAATAGACAATTGTGTGATGGAATAAGCGACGCTAGAAGGGAGCCGTTTTGTGGTCGACCACTTGGATTAAAGTTTCATCCAAAGACTTGTGAGTTATATATAACAGATGCTTATTTCGGATTGATGAAAGTGGGACCCAATGGCGGGACTGCTACCCAACTTGCAAATTCAGCTCAAGGACATCACTTCATGTTTCTTAATGATCTAGACATCAATCCTATTAATGGAGTTGTCTATTTTACCGATAGTAGCATTCGCTATCAACGAAGGTAAAATATTGTTCAATACACAATTGATTATGTTTAACAATTAATTACAACATTCCTAAGAAAACATCATACATTTGTAGGGATTACTCGGCGATAATTTCTAGTGGAGATAGTACAGGAAGACTGTTAAAATTTGACCCCAATACCAAACAAGTGAGTGTGTTACACGATGGCTTGGCATTTCCAAACGGGGTCGTTTTGTCTAGGGACAATTCGTATCTTCTTGTAGTTGAATCACAAAAAAATCAAATCTTAAAATTTCCGCTCTCTAATAACAGAACAAGAACTCCAAGTGTCTTTGCAAGGGTCGACAGGTTTGCTGATAACATCAGAAGGAATGGTGAAGGAGATTATTGGGTTGCACTAAACACAGCAAGAGAAGGATACACTGAACCGGTGGATTTGAAGTTTGATGAAAGTGGTAGAGTGATTCAAATCGTGAACGGTGATATTGGAAATACTCTAGAGTTTGTCAGCCACGTTGAAGAACACAATGGAAGAATGTGGTTTGGATCTCCGAGACAACCATATGTTGGCACTACTATTAGAGTTTAGATTTTATTAATTAGTTAAATCGGTATTTGTTTTAATTATCATCTGATTTCTTCCTAATTGATGACAAATATGTCATGTGGAATTTCTTGTTGGTTTATTTTATATAATCATGTTTTAGGGGCAACAAGTTAACTACACACTTTCAGCATATTTTTAATGAGATACTTAATAAAATTTGCATCTATTATCCGAATCAAGCCTTTCTTCTCCACTAACGTTATTACATTAAAGCATCAAGTCATATATACCCAACAAGGAATGATAATACAACAATTATTGGTCACATTTGAGTTTGTGCATTTGAAATATAGAGAATAATCTCAATCTCATTCACTTTGGCGGGTTGGGCGTAGGGAAACCTGGAGTGGGCGATCACCTTTTCGAGTTGAGAATAATCTCATTCAGACTGCTTTAAGGCTTCAATAAAAGCATCCTTTAGTAAAGGGTTTGACGCAGCTACTCGTTGAGACGTGATATCAAAATCTTTTCCCGATCTAATATACGAAAAGAAATAAGAAACGGTTTAGTCCAATTATCATCTGTAGACTAAATTCAGTTAGGACAGATTGATTACATTTTCACATCATTCAGCTTGTTCTAAGCATATACAGAGTATTTAAATGCAGATTTAGAAACAGCGAACAGAAACCCACCTAAACCAAACTGACCAAAGTTTATTAAATCCTATGCAGTTTCAGTTTTCTCTCAAGGTTATAATAGGCTTTGAAAACCAGACAAATTTGACAAAAACCAGTCAAAATTGCCCGAAACCGAACCGCCAAAAGCCAATCTCACCATATGCAATTTGATTTTTTGTTCAAGTGTTTAAGTTTCAAAAAGTGACCAAACTAAACTAATCAAAACCTGAGAAAATTGAAGCTGACTTAAGTTATTAAGTTTGTCTTCTTTTTTTAAACTCCAAGGACCGGTTCCCTTTGACAAATTTCAGTCTCATTCTTAAACAGACCAGAACAAAATCGCGCGTGTTCACTTGGACTTAAGGCCAGAATCAAACCGGTCAAAACAAACTAACACTAAACAATAATAAATACGCATAATATCAAACTAGACCTGACCAGACTAAATTAAACAAGTCCAGGGTAGAATATTCCAGTCAAAATATACATATCCTAAGTAGAAACAAGAACAGAACAGACAAAAACTAAACAGACGAGAATACAAGATCAAACCAATAATTTCAGTTTGGGTCCTAAAGTAGCAAATATAAGCTGATATGTGGTTACTCAAAAGGGTTGAGATGAAGGAATGAAGTATTTGGTATACTTACGGATCAAACAGAACGCCACCGGCTTCTTCAACGATAACAGCACCACCAGCCACATCCCATGGACCTCCGAACCCAGCCTCATAGCAAAGGTCAATCCTCCCACAGGCAATGCCGCATAGATTCAGTGCAAGAGAACCTGTCATTCGCAGGGACCTCACCTGATCACAAGAGCCAGGGAGACTAAACCATCAATAACCAACCGTCTCTATGCACTGACAGAGCAAAAACGTCTGAGGCTTAATCCCAAAAGAGTTTGGGGTCGACTAGCATGAAGTACGCCAAAAGTATGCACTAATGCAGACTTTAATTAATTAATACCTGGAAAAGCAAGTTGTTGATTCTGCTAGTACAAGCATCCACATTTAACTTATCACGCTTTGTTCCGGCCTCTGTCACAAGGAGCGCCTTCACAAGTTCATCCTGAGAAGATACTGCATGTACATATTTAAATTAAAAGCCAAAGAATCTTGTTAACAAATGCCAGTTTAAGCATGTTTCTTTGACTTGTCACCATTTTTTTACCATTTACCTAACACTAACCTGCCGACCCCAAAATCTTTTGGGACTAAGTCTTGGATGTTGTTGTTGTTACCTAACACTAGGCACTAGCTTGTTTAATTCCCGCGCTAAATTGGTTAATCAAGAAAAAGACTACAACAGGAGTTTATTTTTTTTTGCTGAACTGGACAGATTTAGTTATTTTTCATAAAATAGTAACGAAATCTATGAAATATACAGTTTCATAATTCAAGACATTCATCCAATTCAGATTAACTTTAGAAATTTCAACCTATGAAGCAAGCAAACTCTGAGGAAAGAGTATGTTTCTGTTTCGAAAACTCTACAGAAACTTTATAGAAACTCTCCAAACAATAATTTATCTATTACAAGATGGCGTTTCTCGTTTCACCTTTCCCCACGTTTCTGTGCGACATAGATTTCAACACATTCATCCCATTTTGGTCTTCTAGAATGGTACTTAGTCAGTTAGCCCATATTAGTGTTTATTATAGGCATTAAAAGAACAATATAATTAAGGAGATGTAAATTCACCTTTGATTGGACTACCGTTAAGAAAAGCACCTTTCCCACGGATGCCAGTGAAAAGCTGCAAACAATGTTCAAAGAAAATAGAACTTTTTAGATTAATTCACTAAAAGCATAGGGTACCACACAAATCCAAACTATTACTAGTACATGATTAAACTCTTGAGTGTAAATTTGAAATAAATTAAGTTTAGAGAGTGGAGGATGGGCCTATTATAGAACTTAGGTAGGATTTGGCGGTCAAGCGTAGCTTTAAGCCTAAGGGTATGATATGTATTTGGGAAATAATAAAAAGTTAAAGAGTAGCATATTATATACTCCGTATAATATATAATCACATGGCATTCCAATCACGTGTTCTTCATTTTTAGAAGCATTATGTTTACCAAGATGCAATAAATACACTAAGCCCACCAAAGTCTTCACTACAAACCCTTACATCCAAACAGACCCTAAGAGAGAACTAGGCTGTGTGGAATGTCAGAATTCTCACCTCGTTCATGATTGGATTGTAGACAACGCCAACAGTTGGTTTTTTCCCAATTGTGAGGCCAATGGAGACACACACAAAAGGAAACCTGCAAGTTAAACCACAGCTTGTTATATATCAAATTACAAGGTAAGTATTTAAGTTCTCCAACGAGCACTTGTTACAATATTTACTTGGAGAATATTAATGGGGCTAAATTACCCATGGACGAAGTTGGTGGTTCCATCAACAGGATCAACTATCCATGTAGGTTCATCTGTCAGCTCAGAAGCTCCATAAGCTGCCGTTGTTTCTTCTCCAATGAACTAAAGGGAGGAGATTAAATACATAAAACCAATAACTAGAGGGGAACTTTTCAAAATAGCATATTAATTACTACCTAAGAATGAACTATTATGTAACTCTAATGATAATGTAAAGGGAATATTAAGAAAAAAGAAAAAGAACCTTATGAGTTGGGAAGTGTTGCTTAAGATGATTGAATATGAGGGTTTCACATGCCTTGTCGGTCTCCGTGACCAAATCCACCTATAAACAATTAAAGCATATAGCAAATGACGAACTAAATAACAGTATTTAGACTCAAAAGACTCTAAAAATTGAAAACCATATAAGAAATATGACTCGTTGGGAGAAGAGGGAGTAACATTTGAGGCTTAAACGTCATTATCTACAGAATGAACATCTAAAATTTCAAACGGAAAAAAAAATCACGCAAGAATTTTCTGCACAAATTAGTACTCCGTATATATGACCAAATCATAACATCATATACGTAGAATCTGATAGAAGTATTATTACACAGCTTATTTCAATTTTCAATTAGCAAATCATTATTAAATGTTTAAAACAAAGACCATAAACTAAAATATACGTAGTATAATATGAAGTATATGAATAGAACTAAAAGTAATTACCGAGCCTTTGTGTTCGATATGCTTTTTCTGGTGGAAACCATTTCGTATAATCTGTAAATCCAGTAAACGAACACAGTCAAGAAGCAGAGCTATAAACCAGTCAAAAATGTAAACCAAGGTTGATCAAGAAAGTGAAAACCAAACCTGGGGCTTCTTTGGTTTAGGAATTTCGGAGGGAAGGCTAGTATTGATTTTTATTTTACTAATTCATCCCTATCTTCTGGTTTTAGACTAAAAGTAACTACATTAGTTAGATCATGTAGTTTTATACAGGGAGCAGTTTTATCTGCACTTTATTTTGTAAATGTAGAAAAGTGTAAATAATTTCTAAAAAACATCACCCATCCCCTGCCCTCCTTCACAATTCATCTGACCAAACAAACCCTCAGGAGAAGAAAATTGGACAGAGAACTTATATATATTGTAACAAATCAAGAACATTCAAGAAGTGATGCTAAAAACAAATCTTTTGAAAATGAGCAAAGATTCACCAAGAATTTATCAGTAGCTATAAAAAACAAACAAACAAACAAACAAACAAATGAAATTGAATAGACAATGGGATTACCTCGCCGGCTTGCTTAGCTGCATCAACTGCCACAGCCAAGAACTCCTCCACTGGCGAATCAATCAATACCATATAAATGTATATAAATTTAATTTAATTTAATTAATAGGCATCCATATCAACAAAAAGCGCACACGTTTTTTTTTATGTATAAAGATGGGATCAGATAATTAAGGGAGGAGAGTTACCCACCTGCAATGTCAGCCATTTTTTAGATGCAAAATCTGGCGTGGAGAAGATGACAGTGAGAAATGGTTAGAACTTTTTAACAGTTTATTCCGACTGGACTCTCTGTATCATGTCTTACATCTTACGTATATATCTCTATGTTAACGAATAACGAATGGCAATTTCACGAAGGTGAAAAGGGCAATCTGGTAATAGTAGGAATGGAGGACATTCCATGGAATATGCTGATTCACTTCGCGTCTTGGTCTAATGGTCTTTCTGGTTAAAGTAACAGAGGCATAAAGGCGTAATTGATTCAAGACGTGAAAGCCGGGGATAAAAAGGACTTTTAAGACTTAGAGGACAAGAGATTGTTCTTTACGTAGTACTAGTATACTCCCTCCCTTCCAATAAAAACTTCGGTTTTGACCGGACACACACAGTTGCTATACCGTGGGCAGGGGCGGATCTAGCATAGGGTCAGGGAGGGTCTAGGCCCCACCTCAACAAAAAAAAAATTACTAGTATATATATATATATATTATATATGTACTGTGAAGCAATGGTATAATTAGAACAAACGTCCTATTGTAAACAAAAGCTATGTTGGTGTGATGGTAGAGGCGTGATTGTGCAGTCTAGAAGTTATGTGTTCGATTCCTAGCTGTAGCATATTATTTTTATTTTCCATCCAAGTTCAGGAACAAGCTATCTTACACAAATCAAGTCTGAATTTTAACTTTTGAATACTAGGATGCAAAAATCAAGTAGTCCAACTAATTGGGCTTTATTAGTCTGAAAAATCAATTAGTTCAATTGATTGAGCTTTTTGAATATTGTCCTAAAAATTAGTTTTATTCATTGGACTTTTGAATATTGACCAAAAAATTAATTAGTTGAATACATTGGATTTCGTAGGTGAAAATAAGTTTTCTTTACATAGAGTATAGATTTTAGATTTAAAAAATCGGTTTATCTTGATTCCGAGAAACTAACCTAAAATTGGCACTAAACATTTGGGTAACCGATAAAACTTCGGTTCGATATTTATGACTTTTAAGATAATTGTATTGTCGGTTCTGTAATATTCAATTTATTCTTTGACATTTCTATAATTTACATTTTGACTTCTAAGATATTATTATACTGTATTACATTTTGATATTTTTTTATAATATACGTTATTTGATTAAATTTTGGTCCCACCTGAACGTAAATGCTAGATCCGTCCCTGACCGTGGGAGCGGTGCAGGATGAGCATCCCGCTCTCAAGATTATATGTAATGTAAATCATGTTAATTCACATGTAACTTCAAGTTTATCGAGATGTAAATTACACTCATTCAAATGTAACCTATTGAAATGTAAATTGTTTTGATTGAAATGTAACTTGAGAACAAGTCAGATGTAATTTGTGAATGTAACTTTAGCCTATTCAAATGTAACTTGGGAATAAGGAGATGTAACTTGTGAAATCTGTAAGGAATAATTGTATTTAGATTTTGATGATGCTATATTAATTAGGACTGTAGAGTACCCTTTTAGAAATTATGTATTAGAATTTTCCCTTGTAAAATTCTTAGCATATTCGACTACCAGAAGGCCTCTCTACCAGAAGTCCTCCAGACAGAAGATCTTGGTTCTCTGTCTAGGAACAGAAAACGTCAGGGTCTCTGTTACCCTTTAGCGTGACAGAAACCCTCCTGGTTCTCTGTAAGCTACCAACAACAGAAGTGCTCATGATCTTCTCTGATTCAGTTCTCTGTTAGTAACACCAGAAGGTCTGACACTTGGAAGAAATCCACAAAGCCGGGAAGTCAACATAAAGATTCCTTCAAACGGCTAGGAGTATGAAACGGAAAAGCTACAGTGCTCGCATTAAATGCTCATTTAATGCTCCCCATGTTCCGTGGAGTAATTGCAGATAATTGGCCGCAATGTCAGGATTACTTTATCCCAAAATAGTAACCCGCCAACTTTACCGGGTCCTACTGGTCAAGTCAACTGCTCGCGCATTAAATGCAGTTGTCCTCCTACTCCTCCAACGGGAAGACAACCTCAGTATAAAAGATACACTACGAAGAACAACCGGATAACTTTGCCATAACTTTGCTATCACATTGCTAACCAAGCAAGATATTCAAACTCTGAAAAGCAAAAGCCTCCTTGAGATTCAAACTTACTATCCTCTACAAGAGAAGGCAGAAGTCGGAAAAATACTCTTTCCTACTCAAACAAAGTTCCAAGTGTTCTTCAACTCTTCAAGCTCTTCACATACATACATTTTGTAACGAAGCTAGTTGGAGGAACCTCTGTTTCAACAGAAACTCTTCTTGCTACAAGAAGGACGTCCGAATAACTGGAGTAGTGAAGTGGTGACACTTCAAGGAGACTCAGTGAAAGGACCAGTGTTAAAGGAAGCCAGGCAGTGCATCCCAGGACACATCTAGGCTTGAAGAAGACGTGGAGTGCTTCTTAAGTGCTAGGACTAAGGCTTTGTAAACGGCAGTTTTTACAGCTTAGTGGAACAGTGGATTAGAGGAACGAGTTGTTCCTTGAACCACTATAAAAATCCCTGGTGTCGTTTACTTACTGCTTTTAATACTTGCATTTAGTTAGAACCGTTTAACTCCCTGAACTTGGTATCTGTGTTCAGCAAAACTCGTTCTACGAGTTAACAGAAGGCCTTCTGCCTTTGCTTCTCTGAGGCTAACAGAACTCCCTGCCAGAACCCCATCCGCTGCCAGTCTGTTCTCTCAACAGAACAGGCTATTCTGAAAAACTGGTACTTAGTTTTAAAAAGCTAAAAACCAATACAGTCTATTCACCCCCCCCCCCCCCCCTCTAGACTGTATCCAGTATAACCGGGACCAACAAAATCAACATCCAGGAGAATGGAAAAATTCAAATTAATGTGAATTGGAATAATACTAAATCAAATCAAAAGAATTTGCTTTCAATTTTAAAATGATTATGCATAAATCTTCCTGGAGGACATGGAGGAGGAGGAGAAGAAATAAGAAGAAAACTTACCATTCAGTTATTTCCAACAGCTTCAGAAATTCAGAGGTTCTTTCTCCATTAATGGAGACGGGAGTTCTATGAGTAGAATTTCAGTTCAGGAGCAAGTGTGCCATATTCGGACAGAGATGGACCTTCGATCGAGCTCATCAATTTTTTAATACTCCGTATAAAACTACACCGTTTTGGGATCGGGCACACCATCCTCATGGTGTGCCGATCCCAGGATATAAAATGCGGGGCACACATATTAAGATAGTGAGAATTATGTGGTGGAGAGTTGTACAGAGAAGAGAGAAATGTGTAAGAATGGTTGTGAATCACAAATTCTTTGCCAAAAAGGTAAAGGTGAGATAAATTTGAGACGGACGAAAAAGGAAAGTATGAAGATAATTCCGAGACAGAGGGAATATTTTTTTTGTAGAATTCCACAATTATGAGTAAAACATGATCAAATTCTAAAAATAAGAATGGATGTTTACGATTTTCTAAATCAGATTTATTATTCTTTCAAAAAAAAAGATTCATTATTTATCATTGGACAAAAATACTCTTATATGAATTGGTGTATTGTCACCATTGGTCATAGAAATTTGCCGCCTTTTGTCATCAATGGACTTCGCTGAAGTGCCGCCTCTGGACTGCCCTAGTTATGACGGGGGAGTAAGAGCATCTTTTAGTCTTATTTAGAGCAATTTATCTATATTTCAATATTGATATAATTATTAAAAAAAGTGGAATTGTGCGATTGACATTGAATTGATAAATTGTAAATAAAGTAATACAGAGTATTAAAAAATTGACAGATCTTTTTCTTATGACAAAAATGAAACATAATCACTCGAGTAATATGATATATGATGAATTTAGCGGAAAGATAAAAAAGATAAAATGTGACAAAGAGAGTAATTAATATTTACCCTTTAAAAAATTAAAGTGTCTTCCATCATTTTGTTATATTATGGGGGTGTTCGAATATATCTACTTTTTAAAACTGTTTATGCTCATTCGGAGAGCGGAAGTAGATATTTGAGTATTTGGGTGAAAGTATAGAAACACTTCTTAGTGTTACAAATTGCTTCTAAATTGCTTCTACTAATAACTTATGAAAAACTTATTATGATTCTATTTTTATTTTAAAAAAATAAGCATAAGCAGAATTAATTACAAATAAGACTTTTGATAAGTTTGTAAGAAACTTCAACGATATCAGTTATGTTTAAAAAGGGCGGGCATTATATACGCTAATTTTTCACCTACGTACCATAACTGTGTGAAAATTGTGAGAAAATACAAAACAGCAGAAACTGCTATAAATGAAAGTAGCATAGGATCTCAAAAGAACCATGTCTAAGATCGAAGGCTAAAATTGAAGTTGGTGAAGCAAAAATTCCCCTTGGGCTTCCTAACTAGAGTACTAGACAACATTGTTTTCAACTTCTTTAAGATGGTGTTCTAAGTCGGGTAATAAGGAGTATAAAATAATAGTCCCCCCGTAACACTCATATCTTCTCATTTTCCATTTTAGCAGTAACATTCATATCTTCCAATTTCTAAAACTTTATCATACCCTCAATAATTTTAAAAATACTACGTAATACACTATTATAACTACTTTTTTGAATTTATCTTTCATTCCAACACACTATTTCATTATCTTCCCATCATACCCTCAATAATTTATACTCCCTCCATCCCGCTAACAATGAGACAAGAGGGAGTGACACACAAATTAATAAAAAATGGTTCATGTGGTTGATATTGAATTGATAAAGTAAGAATAAAGTAAGAATGATTTAGAGTCATACAAACTTTACCAAATTTGGTATGAGACAATCTTAGTGAGACGGATCGATAAGGTAAAATGAGACAATCATATCATAGCGGCACGGATGTAGTATCTCTTTTCACTATTCTTAATATCACCTACTTTTCAAATGGACGAAGTTGGTGAAAATCGTGCATATAATGTTAACTTTGTTTAGCTTAACATATATTATCCTTCGTTCTTTAATGGTTGCAACAATTTGACTTTCATGTTTTTCAAAGCACAACTTTGATTGTAACTATATTTAGTTACGTATTAGTAAAAATTATAAAAAGTTAATATCTTGGAAATTCACATAAAAATTATAAAAAGTTAATATCTTGAGAAATAAGAATAACAAAAACTATGTGATTGAGATTTGTGCAGAGGAGAGAAAAATGTGCATTTGGTACGGAGAGAGTAAAATAGTTTCAATTGTTTATGTTTGACATTTGCCACTATTTCACTAGGAGCCAACACCCGACAACGCCAT